CACCAATCTTCAGTACCTCCCATATCATGACTAGTACTGGGACTACAATAGTACTAGACTAGACTACAGTACTAGACTATAATTCAGTATAGTACTAGACTACAATAGTCAGAAACACCCAGGAAAAGACATGAGGCTCACAAGCTCTAGTAACTAAAAGATGCTCTAGATACCAGGTAAGGGCAGGGATGGAGCTGTAATCCACAGAGGGAAGCAGGTTGAATCTGCTATGGTAGCTACCTTCAGGGCCTATTAGGGTTGAAGCAGACTAGAAGGAAAAACAGGGAAGTGTGGAGCTAGGAGGGTGGGGAAGGGGTAGTTGGGGGATGGTCCAGAAGGAAATGAGCTCCTCACAGAAACATTCTAGAGAGTACCCCCTACCATCTCCAGTTGAACATTTCAAAGATAAATGATTCACATTAATAAGCTGTCTTTGGTCACCAGGAGGTGGGTAGTGAACTTATAAAAACCGTTTCTCTAAGTCAGAGCAGCTGGAAGAACCCTATAGCTTCAAACAAGGTTTTGATAAATTCATGGATGACCTTTATGTAATAGGCAATTATGGCTGGGCAGATGCTGTGAGAGGACTCTTTCCTTTGGGGCTATCCCCAGTGGTCCCTGCACACACAGGTAGAGAAACAGAAGCTGTGGAAAGATGGATGTCAGATCCAGCTCCTATATTCTGAAGCTCCTCTCTTGGGAATGGATGTGGAAATTCAGAAATTGACTTAGAAAAAAATTCCAGTTTTTTTTTTTTTTTTTTTTTTTAGAGAGAGAGAGAGAGGAGAGAGAGAGAGAGAGGGAATTTTTTAAAAATATTTATTTTTTAGTTTTCGGCGGACACAACATCTTTGTTTGTATGTGGTGCTGAGGATAGAACCCGGGCCACACGCATGCCAGGCGAGCGCGCTACCGCTTGAGCCACATCCCCAGCCCCATAAAAAATTCCAGTTTTTATGCAAGAAAAATATTTCTTTACCCAGCCTTCTGGCCAGAGGCCTTGTGCCTCTTCAATGGTGTGCCCCTGTCAATAAAACATGCATCTCCAATATATGAATATTTATCTACTAATTACATACATTTCTACTATTAATAAAACACCTCCCCAAATATAAAAGTTTTAAAGGATGAGCTAGAAAATAAATATAAAAAGGAGTTTTCATATTCTCTGCCTTGTTCCCTCTCTCCCCACCCTCTGCCACACATGTCCTAGTTTGGAGGCCACCACTGAGGAACTTCTTAAATTCCCAATCCTCGATCTTTAAAAGAGTCTTTAAAGTCTTTGTTGGTTGCCCAGATCAGATTCTCTCCTGTCCCCAGCCCTCCCCATGGACAGTATACTTAGGTCAGTGACAGGGAGGCCCCATACCATCAAGGGTTGGCTTCACCATGTTTCCTGATTGCCTGGAGACAAAAAGAATCTGCTCCTTAATGGCAACAGCACAGGGATGAGTGTCTCCATAACACTCAGGCTCAGAAGGAAGCTGTGATTTGACAAGAAGCTGGCAGCATGGGCTCAGTGTCTGTGACATTAATATCTTGAAGTAGGGGATGACCTGTTGGCTGTGGAGGGAAGATACTACACCTAGGATTCCTGGGCAGAGTAGGAGGTCATGCTACAAGAGGAACTCCCTAACAAGCTAATAACATCTTTCTTTCCTAACTTCCCAGTTCCTTTAATTTGCAGCCCTACTCTGAGGGTAAATTTCTGAGACCCAAAATACCCCAGAGTAACCCAGACAGTCAGCTCCTCCTTAATACAGGTAAGGACAAAGCAGAATGCTGGCCTGGTGACAGCTCCCTCAGCAGGTGTATACAAATGCTCTTGGGCATATAAGCGCTCACACTCCTAGGTTGACAAACTCACATGAAAGAACATTAGTGTTGTATAGGTACCTACACCACTTTCACTCATCCTTTCTACTCTGAAGCATCTGGCAGAAACTTTCTGTTGCCAAACAAGCCTCAGGAGGTTGCAGGCCAGTCTCTTTGGGCCAGTGAGAATGTGGTTGAAGCATTGATCTCTGGATGCTATGCTACTGCTGAGGAAGAGTTCAGAATAGGACAGCAGTTGGATCAGCAAGGGACAATGTGGCAAGAGGGCCTAACAGGAACAAGTATTGCTGCCACCAAACATAGGACAGATGAAGCTGCCGTAAGAGCAAGCCTTGGGAACTTCATCCCCCAGCCTTGAGACCTTAGTGGGTTTATTAGGTTGAGAATATCCCTCAGGATAATCTGATTTGGCTTTGGTTTCCTTCAGGGCCAGCCAGTCTCCAGAATCCAGAGCAAGGATGGGAAACTTTCCACTAACTCCAATTAATTGGTAGTAACATCCTGGAGGACTAGGTTTGGGAAGGATCAATGAGAAAGATCTTTGCCTTCAGTTAAGCCCAAAGGCCATGGACTTGTCATTGTGATGTAGAATAAAACCAAACCTTTAGGCCTACCTCAAATGATCTCCATCCAGCTTATTAGAGTGTCTCATTCAGAATTAGGCAAGCCCATCTCAGACCAAGCTCATCCTCCTCTAGAAAGAGATCCAAGGCTATACAGTGGTGGTTCATGTAGTATTTACCTTTGCCCTTCCCTCAATCCCCTTTTCACTTATATCCCATGGCTTTCCCAGAGTCATAAAAGCTGGATGTGGGCATAAGAAAGCTGAAGCATCAAATGCCAGGAGCTCAGTATAACTTAGAAGACTGAATGTCTCTTGTTCTATGGTGCCTGTGATGGGCCTTGTATGAAAGATGACTTACCTAGAGGTGAGTGAGTGGTGGATACAATCCTCTTAGCCTAAGTACTTTGTTTTACGGTTATCATTACCATTTATGTCTTGTGGAGTTTATATCTAGAAGTCTTTTTTATTTATTCATTCATTTATTCATTTAGAAAGAACTCATAGGAACCATACAATATGAGTACTTGAATGTCTGAACATTTCTTCGTGAGACCTTTAAACTTGAACAGTTTGGTTGAATATAAAATTATGAGTTTACAATCTTTCCCTGAGAACTCTGCAAATATGTCCATTCCTTTTTTCTATCACTGGTCATTCTAGTCGAGAGCACTCCAGGCCAGCCTGTTTTTTCTCCCTTTATAGATATATTAACTTTTCCCCTCTGGATGCAATAGAACTCTTTTTGAAGTCTGGTAACTTCAACAAGATATGTGGATTTTCTTATGTTTTGTTTTACAGTCTGGGAACTAAAGGCAGCTGCATTCACAGCCCCCCACACATACTCTTTTAAGACAGGGTGTTGCCAACTTGCCTAGACAGAACTTAAAATTGTGATTCTCCTGCCTCAGTCTCCCAAGTAGCTGAGATTACAGGCATACACCATCATGTCTGGCACATCAAGATATGTTTTTGCATTGAGTACTCTATTTTTCCTAAAATTCAGTATGGCCTTTCAGACTAAAGACTTATGTATTCTTTTATTTCAGCAGATGCAGTTTTCTTCTATTGTATCTTTGAATCTTTCTGTGTTCCACTTATTTTATTCTCTTCTCCAGGGATACCAATTAAATATATTTGAATTTCCTTTGTCTCTCCATTGTCCTGACTGCAGGCAACCCATGATCTGCCCCTCCCCATCTGCCAAATTCTGCACAATTCCTTAGGCAACTTCATAGCCCCAGTTACTCTTTGGCATTACATAGAATTCAGAGATGCTCTCTAAGATTTACCAGGTATGTTTGCTTTGCTAACCAGTCCAAGATGAGGTTATTGTTTTGGCCTCTGGACTCCGAGCTCTTTGCCCTGGTTCCATAAAACCAAATTTCCCTGCCTAGGAACCTCCCTCATCCTGAACTGATTTTCCTGTACTTGGAAGCCATTCTTTATTCATTATATTTCAGTTTAGGGGTGTTTGTTAGTTTTTTTGAAGGTGGAGTTCTTTCTTCTGTTTCTTGTTCTTCTTATAATTTTTAGTTAGTTCAGTAGAGAGACTCAACAATGAGATGCTTTTACTTAATCATATTTAACCAGAAGACATTTTACGACCCAAAACAAAGATGTTTTTCTGTGGCTTCCATCTGTGCAAGTTCTGAATTTTCTAAAGCATGGGCCAATTTACAAGATCTTAACATCAGTGGGGAAAAATACATATTCATAAACATTTTTTTTTCAGGTGGTACCCAGACCTCTGGAAGGCCATGGTGGCCAAATTCCTTAATGGCTGATTTGGCCTTCAATCAGTAGGCCCCTACTTATCACATCTGCCTTGTCTCTTGATTTTCATCTACATACCTGCTGCATGTAAGTCCTGCCTGAGACTTGAGAGCTCACTGACAAGCCAGGTACTTTCCTGCATCCATGCCTATAGGTTCTCCAAAGGGCTAGCTGAATGCCTCCACAGAGCCTTATAAACTTGCTATCTGGTGTGGAGCCTCCCTAAGGTCTCCTTCCGTATGCATTGGGGCCAGTGCTGCCTTCCCCCACCAGATTGAGAACCCCATGAGGGTGGGGTTCCTAGAACTTAATGTAGTTGTAATCCCCACTTGCTAATTGAAAGAAGCAGAAGTTTCACAGACTGTTTTAATTAACTGATGAAAAATAATTTGTAATTAGGCAAGGTTTGTAGAAAATGACCCTGCTAAAGCTTTTTTTAGGTGAGTTAGTCATATTTATACCATTCATAATTTATAAGAGTCTGGTTCAACAATTTATTCACAAATTCCCAGGGGAAATGAGACAAAGATTGAGTTTTACTACAATGCATAAAAGAACTGATTTATTTAGCTAGACCCCAGTAAAAGAGAAGGTGCTAGAGCTTTGCAATCAATGCCCTGATACCTTTCCCCCTGCTTATACATCAAACTCGAGTTACAGCTCATTAGCAGGAGATTCCTAGGGAAGCCAGGATAGGTGGGGATACATGCTGGGGGCCAAAAGGGCAAGAGGAGAGAAGAGAAGGTAGGCAGGTGTCCAGACCAGAAAGTCACTATCTAGAGCTGAGACCCAGATCAGCAACTCCTTGAAGTGTTCTTGCCATCACTTCCCAGGCTTTCCAGATAGTCCTGACCTAGGACACCTGAAGAAATGAGAACTCCAATCTTAGGGACCCTTTATTTTTAGGCATCATCAGGACTGAACCCAAGATGCTGACATTTAGGCAAATTATAGTGCATCCCTACACCAAGATCTGTAGCATACATAACATTTGAGTCTTGAGGAACTTCCTGGCCTGTCCAATCTGGAGTGACTGGGACACCCTTCAATAGTGCCTCCAGGCCAACCAGGTATCTCTTCAGACTACCCTAATAAGTTCAGCTTTTTGAAGGGATACCTGGCCAATCAGGTAAATTCTTAGCCACTTTTTCACAGCCTTCTTAGGAGCCTTGGTCCCAGAGCTAGCCCTCTGCTTACATTTCCTGGTCCTGTCTTCTGGGTGTATGATGGTTCCCAAATGTGGAGTTCTGATCCAACCCAAACCACTGAGTCTCTACTCTCCTCCCAGTTCCAAGCTTGAGGACATCTGCACTGGGAGCTCACAAGATCACAGCTTTAAGTTTGGTAGTGTCCCAGTTTCCTGATCCAGGGTGAGTATGTGTGTATAAGCTCCTAAAACTAGAAAACTCTAACCAGGAGTCAGAAATAATTGCATAAAGCTGAGCCAGCTTTCCCCAGGTTCTAGCTACTGCAAATTCTACTACTACAGCTCTTTATCAAGGACACAGTGCTGTGTGTGTCAGCTCTCTTCCAAATTCTGCTGCAAACATGAAGTAAAAAATAAGTCAAGAGAAAACTGAAAGCCTTTGTGATTATAGATATACCAGGTCCCAGCCCTGCTACCCCTGCCTCCAAGAGGACAGAAGCCTGGACTCTGGCCCAGAAACCTCACAATTTCTGCCCAGTCTTCAGACCCAATGTTGAAGAGACACTCAGAACTCCACCTGCCTGTGAGGATTTCCAGGACACATTCTTAGCCCCCAAAGATGGTTAAGAGCCTATTTTACATCCAGCCTTGCTCTAGTTATAGGAAGGGAGACAGGACCAACAGCACAGTTAGCGAGATAACCTAGTTATCTACATCACTAATACATGAATACTACATGAATACAGTAGGCTGAATACCTACTGTACTTTGGGTACTGGGCTAGACCTACAAATACCCCAGTGTATGAAGCATTCTAGAACCTGCTGTTTGAGACTTCCAGAAAAATTCTACCTGGCATGGAAACCTCTTGACTTCCTCTACCCATTCCCAAAGGGAGTCAATAGAAAGCAAAAACCATGTCTATAGTCTATTTGGGGGACCCTCCTGTCCCCCAAAATAAAAAAAAATTATCTAGCCAGGCACAATGGCACATGCAGTAATTCCTGCTACTTCAGAGACTGAGGCAGGAGGATCACAAGTTTGAGAGAAGTCTAGGCAACTTAGTGAGACCGTATCTTAAAAAATAAAAGGCTGGTGGTCTGGGGCTGGAACTCAGTGGCAGAGCACTTGCCTAGCATGTCTGAAGCCCTGAGTTTGATACTTAGCACCACATATAAAAATAAATAAAATAAAGGCGTGTTGTCCATCTACAACTACAAAAAAAAATTTTTAAGAATTAAAAAAAAATAAAAGGCTGGGGAAGTAGCTTAATGGTAGAGTGCCCCTGGGTTCAATCTTCAGTGCCACAAAAAAAAAAAAAAAAAAAAAACAAGCAAGCAAAATCTCTTTATCCAGAAATCAAGGTTTCATGATTTATTTTTTTAAATATTTATTTTTTAGGTGTAGTTGGACACAATGCCTTTATTTTATTTACTTATTTTTTATGTGGTGATGAGGATTGAACCCAGTGCCTCACACATGCTAGGCAAGTGCTCTACCGCTGAGCCACAACTCCAGCCCCATTGATTTAATTTTTTTTTTCTTTTTTTTGTACTGGGGACTGAACCCAAGGGCGCTTTACCACTGAGCCATATCCATAGCCCTTATAAAATATTTTATTTAGAGATAGGGTCTTGCTGAGTTGCTTAGGCCCTTGCTAAGTTGCTGAGGCTGGCTTTGAATTTGTGATCCTCTTGGCTCTGCCTCCTGAGCTGCTGCTTTTTAAAAATTTAAACTAGATAAAAAAATGTTACTAGCAATATCCTTCTTACTTTTCATGCTTTCATATAAGAACAAAGAAAACTTATCTGTTACTCAAAAATGATAAAATAAAATTGTGATTGGGGATCATTGCTTGTCTTCAGTTTTAGCTCTGAATAAAATAGAAAGAGTCAAAACTTTTTTTTTGAGAGAGAGAGAAAGAGAGAATTATTTTTTTTTAATATTTATTTTTAAATTTTCAGTAGACACAACATCTTTTTTTTTTTTATGTGGTGCTGAGGATCGAACCCAGCGCCCCACGCATGCCAGGCGAGCGCTACTGCTTGAGCCACAACCCCAGCCCTCAAAACTTTCTTACCACAACTCATCCATGGACTCATCCTGTGGGCACTTAGCTCTGAGCACTGTGTTAGCTCTTGGGCAGGGATGTTTCAATGGCTAAAGAATGCTATGTTGGACAAAGGACCCACAGCACTGGTCTAGAGTCCAGCAGTGCTAGGCACTAGAAATGACAAAAGAACAAATCTCTCAGAACACTACCTACATCTTATAATTGCAAATCTATTGAAATCTAAAGGATTCAAACAAGTGATCTCACATACAAAACTCCATCTATCATACTCAAAATAATGGGAACTTGAATGTGCACATGTATGTGTTTGTGGTAGGGGGAAAGGTAGTGATCCTCCCAGAAGGAGAGATGAATGAGGGCTGGTAAGGTCAAAGCAAACCACGGCAGAAGAAAAGGGAAGAAGAACCATTCCGAAGAATAATGGACTGTCTGGCTTTCTTCCACACTGTTACCACTGAGTCCTAAGAATCTGGCACAGGGCCCACCCAGAGCAGGGCTAAGTAAATGTTTGTGGACTGAATGACCAACAGACTGAGGTTGGTTGGTTAGGGAATCAGGTTCTCTGTCATAGTAGTTGTCAACACACTGGGCATAGGAGACAAGACCCACTGCAATAAACTTGGGGCCAGCCAGGCATCCTGGTCCACTGACAGATAAATGTCCAGGAGAAGAATTCTGAAGTGTGGGGTCAGAGACACAAGGGACAGCCCTCAGACATGTCACTCAGAAAGCATGCTTTAAAAAGGCTCGGCTTGGGCTGGAGTTGTGGCTCAGTAATAGAACGCTTGTCTGGCATGTGTGAGGCACTGATTTCGATTCTCAGCACTGCATATAAATAAATTAATTAAAAAATAATAAAAAGGTCCATTGACAAGATATGTGTGTGTGTGTGTGTGTGTGTATACACACATACATATATCTTTATATATATGGCTTTCCTATGGCAGCAGCCACAACCTCAACTACACATGAGAAGACTTGTACAGACCACATTGAGCTAGGTGCTTAATCTTCCCATAAGGAAGTGCAAGGGTGATGTCCTTCGACAGCACTCCCAGGGTTACCACCCCACTCTGGTGTGCTTACCTGCACCCCTCAAAGCTCCTCTGTCTAGGCAGTTTCCTCTTCCTGAATTGCCTGCAGACAGGGATTCCTGAGGCTCCTTGCCTGGCCCCACATTTATCAGCTCATGCTCTAATCTCTGTTTACAAGATCCTTTGCTTAGAACCCTAGCTCAAGCATCTTGCCCTGTATGAGTCTTTGCTATATTCCCCAGTGCCCAGGCATCTGCCATACTTTCTTGCAGACTCCTCATGGCGTCTTGCAGACTCCTCATGGCGTCATGCAGAGAGGACCCCTCCTTTGTTGAGAAGCCCTTCTTGTTCCTCACTCTCTCCTCTCACTTGTACATAGTGAGACCAAAGGTCCAGACAGGGCTGGGTCTAAGAAAGTGTTGTCCTGCTACATGCAATTCTTTATAGCACTTGTCAAAAACAATATAGATGATTAAAAAAAAAATAAGCCAGCCATCTCAAGACAGTAAATGAAATTTACAATTCCAACAGGAAAAATACCTCCCACTCTAAATAATACCCACTGCAAAACCAAAGGAAATTTAAAAGGAAAAGCCAACTACCACATTTCCAGCCTACAGCATTACTGTGTCTGTTGTCCCATGTGCCTGCCTAATTGCAGAGAAATGTACATGGATGGTGGCTCATTTTCCTTTTTTGTCAACTATGCAGTCTTTCCTCTGTGTGCATGTGTGTGCTTGCAAGTGTGAGTGTGCACATGTATTGCATTCATGTATGAGCATGTAAATGCCTATGTGATCATACTCTCCATGGTACTAGCCACTGAGCAACGAGTAAGAAACTGGCAAGGAGGCCTGCTTCCAAAAGGAAGGGGAAAGGCCCTAAGTGACTAAACAGGCCAGAATCACCACACCTATAGTGCCAGGGCCAAGACTGAGCCAATAGAGGGGCCAGGGCCACCTCAGCATGAGGAAGAATGGTGCCAAGTACACAGTAAGCACTGAGGAAAACATTAGCTCTTGCCTTCCTCCCTTCCTTCCCTGGCAGGAAGCCTGGGATTCTGATGTCAAAGTCTCAGGGAAGTGGGAAGTAATGAAAAGTCTAGCTAGCAATGTTAAGGGAGAGAAAGTAGTAGAAGTGAAGTATAGCCTATGTCTGACAAGAGAGGAGAGACCAGGGTCTGAGAGCCAGTCTCATGAAATAGGCCCAGATGCCCCCTGGTTCAGAGAAACAGGCTAGTGGTAATAGTGGCGGGATGTCCAGGCAGCCCTGTTGAAGAAGGGGTGAGGGGAATATTACCTACTCCAGCATGACCAGATGGAGGGAATGTCTGGGGAAGGTGCTGGGGACTCAGGGTAGCTTAGGGTTCCAGGGAACAGAGTGGTGTGTCTGGAATAGAGGATATAGTGAATACAAATCCAAATACAAGAGGTGGAAAGGAAAGGAGTTAGGGCTATAATGGTGGCCAGAGGAGCATCAGTATGAAGTTTTACTGAACCCTGGGAAGGGTAAAAAAAATAGAAGAGAGAGCTCCAGGTGGTCAGGGGAGTGCCTCTCCTGGTCAGGGGTGGGTTCATCC